CCCCCCCCCCCGCCGGGGCCGCCGTGGGGCACAAAAAAGCCGCTAACGCCGGCGCCGACGATCGCCACCCGCATGGCCGCGGCGTCGCTGCGAGGAGGGCAGCAGGGGGTCAGCCGCCGCCAGATCCCCCGCAGCCGGCCGGCACCGTTGTTTTTTGTTTTGAATCACCAACGATGGAGAGCGATTAGAAAAAAAAAACACCCCCAAAAGACACCAGGCTGCAGAGTCCTGCGCTTGCCCCCGAGAGCTGCTTGGTAAAGACGTAGTTAAGCCACGAATTGCTGCCAATTTTGGTTGACAGCTGTGTTTGAACTCTCCTTATCAGTCATGCAAATGTTTATATTTTCATCTTTGGAGACCTGCCAATGCCGTAACGCCTTTCCAAAAAAAAGGAAAAAAAAAAATCACGTATTGCAACTTTACGCAGCGCCACTGTCTCCTGTGCCCCAGCAGAAGACAACTGCGTGTTCACCAGGGACGGGGCGGAGGGGGAAATTCAACAGAAAAATGAATGGGGTTGGACACAACTCTTTCTCTCCAGCGTCGAATTCCCCACGAACGATTTCACCTTTCAGGAGAAAGTCAACACCAGAAGAGTACTTTGCTTTCCAGATTCGAAATGAAAATTTGATTTTTAGTTCTTAAGTGCTAATTTAAGCTACTCATTATTTTGCTGGTTTTTGTTTTGCCTTTTTTTTTTTTTGCTGTTTTCTTTTGCAGAGTAGGAATGCAGTTACACTACTAACGTAGCTACACACAGAGCTTAATTTCCTACCCTTCTGCCAAGAAGCTAGAAATGATGTCGAGGAAACACGGTTTCAGCTAACCCTGTGCACGCTGCTGCCGTGCTTTCTCACCCGAGGGGTTGTCACAATTAACCTCGAAAGTCTCTGACATGAATCAAACCATGGGCACGATCAGGCTGGAGATACCAATCGTCAGCATTTATCCTCCTCTTTGCTCTCGGACTGGCCCCCGGCCTGACGTTGCAGGATCACCCCGGGCTTTGCTCACCAACCCCCGGCGGGCCCGCTGGACGCCCGTGGAGCACGTTTGGGGCGCTCGCTGTGTGGCGGCGGGTTTCTTACCGAACGCGAGGGATGCAAACACCTCTCGGCCTCCCACCCGTGCAGAGCTAACGCCGCACGCCCCTTAATGGCATCCTCGACAGGGGACGTGGGCGCTGGCTCCTGCCTTACCTCCCAGCCTTGCCTGCCACGCGTGCCGTCTCTCCGAGAGCGTTTCCCAGTGGACCTGCGTGGGATTTATAGGCGACATGCGGAGCACTTGCGGATGCAGGGGAAGAGGGCAGCTCCCTTGCTGAGCAGCCGCCCCGTGGCTCTTGCACAACCGGAGTTTGCTGTGGGAGGAGCGGCTGGACGGGGGCAGCTGTGCTGCGCATGGGCCAACATCTGTCACCGCGCGAGAGCAGCGAAACGCGAGCTGGGACAAAGCCGACGACCACGACGGCTGCAGGTGACTCAGTAAAAAGGATCATAGCGTTTTTCCTCTGCAAGAAAACTAGAGCTGCATGTGCAGGGACAGCAAACCACGGCTCACGGTGGCCCTAAGGGCTCCTGAGCCCATGGGCTGGCTACCCTCCAGCACTCACTTTGTAGGAAGCTTAGTGAAACCAGAGACTTTTTGGGGTTGTTTTCACTTGCCTGTTGGCTGCCTACCAAAAAGGTAACTGAAGCAGCTAACAGGCAGGAGTTTTTTTCAGCAGGACTTTGCCCCCAGAGTGTCACTGCCAGCCTGCACCAGCATACGCAGAGGGCTGTGAGGGCAGCTGTCCCCACTCCCTCCTCCACGAGGTCCACCGCACACACACAGGGATGGACGTGCCTGCAGCCGTCCGTGCTGTTAGCAGGGAAAGATCTCCTTCGGGCCAGCGGCTCCCTGCATGAGCAGGGAGTAACCGAAACAGCCAAACAGATGTGTAGCAATGTCATAAATACAACAAAACTGGAAATGAAGGAAGAAATATCAATGCAGAATGTAGCACACAGCAAGACATGCCCCAAAAGTGAACTATCATAGAAAGAAAGTGGGCAAGGGTGACTTAAGAGGAGCCTTTACCCCCAGCTACTCAATATAGTTAGGAATGATTTAAGAGAAAGTATTAAATCCCTGCAAATGAATACAGATGGACACAGAGTCCATGGGGAGAGGTCGGCAGAGGGCCATGCCTTTAGCAACACAGCATTCAGAGAGAGACTTTGCAATGCTTTTGCCATGGACTTGTGGCAAATATCTCACTGACTGCCAGATCCCAGCGTGAGTGCAAGGTTGAAACCTCGTGTTAGACTGTGCAGTGTAAGACCAGGGTACAAGATGAAAGGTGCCAGCCCCATCAAGGTGTTGCATTCCCCCCTGGAGAATGTGCTCTTGGGATGATACACCCATACTTCATATCAGCTCCTTAAGAAGGATGCTTGAATAACTGAGGAAGCTGCAAAGGAGAGAAAACAAAACCAGCTCTGGGAAGCAGAGGGTGGTAAATAAAGCAGTTCCAGCCTCTGTATTTCATCGGAGATGTTCAACCTTTACTACAGCATAAGATGACCAACGCTAGGAAAAGCCAACTTTCACAGTGTGCTTTTAATTCTGCAGACACCAGCCCAAGATGTGCCTGTAACTGGAAGCCGAAACTAGCAGTAGAAATATGATGCACATTGGTAACAGTGAGGGTAACAATCCCCAGCAAAAGCCTACTAAACTTTGAGGTGGACCCCATCATTCGAACAAAACATGAAAACTGGCCTTAAAGCCAAAAGAGGAATTAATAGTTGTACAAAGGTATGCAAGCACAGCAGACTCCTACCTGAGGTTTGCGTGCTGGGCGCAGCTTTGCTCTCTGCAGGCGGAGCTTGTGGGGCGGCACGTGGCTGTGATCAGTGTGGGGGTCCCCAAAGGCTGCCTGGCTGAAGGGCTGGAGCCCACCTGCTTTGCGAGGCCATTGGGGCTGCTGGCACCGCAGGGCGAGTGGGGTTGCCAGCAGCATGAAGGCTGTGCCCGTGGTTAGCACCAAGGCTGTGTCCCTGCTCTGCAATGGGGGAGAGCTTGTTCCCTACCTGGGAAAATGGGCAAGTCCGGCTTGGTTGCAGTAGCAGGGCCAGGCACATCTGCACAGGGACATCTGCACCCAGTGGCACCAGCACCTTCTGGGAGGCCCAGGGAACGTGCTGAGAAGTGCAGCAAACCCCTGGGGAGCTCAGTGCTGCTGGAAGTCCCTTTGGGCTGGTGTGAGAAGGTCCTGCTGGCTCCCCGTCCTGCTCTGGCATTGGGGTTTAGCCACATCCAGTTCGTCTGTGCAGCAGGTCCCCTTTGAAAAGCTGGATCTGGCACCTTCTCAGCTGCTTTACTATAACGGAGGTGGCCAGTGTCTCCTAGCCACACTCGGTAGCAAGACAGCGACATGGGTGTCCTTCCTCCTCCCAGCAGGGGTGTGTGAGAGGACAAGGAAATACCTGCTCTTTTTCTCTCCCCGAACCTACTTCTTGCTGACAGAGACAGAGGACACCTGCCAGGTAGTAATACGCTTAATTGATTCAAATCCCTGTGGGAGAAAAGCAAAGCTGTAACTTCATCCCAGGGTGAACAAAAAAAACAAGCACTAGGAATAGAAAGGGAACAAAGAAAGAACTGCTCGTCTCCTGCGGCATGCGAGGGGACAGGACTTGCCTTCCCGATGCTGCGGCGTTGCTCAGAGCCGGTCAAGGAGGGCAGGTGGCACCGTAAGCTCTCCCAGCACAAGGGTAAAGGAACCATATCCTTCTCCTTAACAGCCCATTTGGTTACTACCCCACGAGAGCACTAACGAATCCCAGCCACGGACAAGGAACAGGATTTAGAGAGCTTTTTCTGCATGTGCATGGCAGACAGAGCTACGGCAGGGTTTTCCCAAGTGCCCGGGCAGCAAACTCCTGCTGTGGTCAGCAGGTACCCAAGTACCATCTACAGCCAAAAGCTCCAGCCTGCCCCAGTGCCATCTGGTGACCAGAATGGCTCTCTGTGCCAAAGACCCTGTGATCCCAAACCGCCTTCTCTCTCCTCCCTGGAGGATGAGCTCTTTCCCAGGCACAGAAAACCTTGCCCCTGCATAGATGCTTTCTGGCCCTTGGCAAAAAGAGGAGGAAATCCTTGAAGAAAAATACTTTGTTCTTTACATGTGCCTGCTTCCCTGGGTTTGCCAACAGGCATCGAAGCATCTCACGCAGTGAGAGAGTCCTGCCCTCACGCAGGCCTGCTGCAGCTGAGGGGAGCTTCCTGGGGGCAGCGCGAGTGCTTTTGGGAGGTCAGCTCAGGGAATTATCTAAAACAAGTTCTGTTTTGGTGTGGGAAAGCCACTGGCATAGAAATGGGGACCGATCCCTTCACTGCAGCCCAGGTGCCTTGGGTGACATTGCAGCTGCCTGCAGCAGCAGTGAATCCAGCCCATGGCTCTAGCCACCCTGATGGGGAATTCAGTCTCTTCAGGAGTTTCTGAAATGCTTTTTGGGAGCTGAGAGAGGGAAAGGCAGACAGTTAACCTGAATCTCTTTTGGTGGCACGGGCAGGCAGAGAGATTTAGGGGCAAGCCACGCTTGCTACCCTCCTCCTTACTGCACCCTAGAGACCAGCGTTAGCCAGGCAGTCCCTTAGAGATTCCCTTGTGGGGTTTAAAAGCTTGGTTTTTGGTTGTGCCATAAGGGATTTTTAAGGTGCAGAGCCTGTCCGGAGGTACAGGAAGGGATGCGATTAGTTATGCTGCATGGGGCAGTGGTAGGAGCATGTCCAAACGCTCAATGCCTGGGGATTAAAATTCACTTTTGTGTAATCTGTCTCAGACCTGTGGGGCTTCCCCTCCATGAAGACTCCTACAATGGCACAGAGCAGGTATACAGAACATTAAAGTACTACTGGAGATGTACAGTGTGATAGCAGGGGTGTAGTTACTGTAATTATGCACACGCACGCACCTGCCTAGGGCACTGGAAAGCCATTGTAAACATGCACTGAAATTCTGGTTGCTTTACTCACTTCTGCTGCTGGCATGGCAGGGAATGGGATCCCTGCCCCTGCTGTGATCCACAGGAAAAGCCAGGATTGGCCTTTCCAGCTTTTCTCCAGAGATGGCCTGTGCGGAGCAGAGAGGAGAGAGCGTGTCAGTGGCTTTTCTACGTTTGCAGGGCTGGAAAAGGCCTTCAAGCCAGAGCATTGCCTTGGTCCACTGCCAATGATCATTAATTCTTTCTTTACTCAAGGGAATTGGTAAATGAATAGATCACACAAATAAAAACTAACCGAGGACCACAGTGAGGCCTACATCCTCACTGGAAAACACCCAACCGCTTCACAGAGGGAACAAGAGGTACCCAAAAGGTCCCACTGAATTTCTCTTTTTGCATAAATGTAATATTTAGGAGCTATCCCCAGCTCTGGTGAAGTTAATCTTGGGAAATATGCTTGCCTGAGCCCCTTTCTTCCCACGCAAGGCTTTGGGAGGCTTCGAGACCAGCACTTGCACAGCAGGCAGTCCATGCACCAGGACACATTTTGAGGGGAGAGCATCCTGGTGGTCAGCCCAGGGAAGTGCCCAGGGAGCAGACACTGCCACGGAGGCCAGCCGCACAGGTGCCCGGCTCTGCTGCTTTTCAAGCAAGTAGGATCTGCTACTGCATCCATCTATTTCAGGGAGGAAATTCAGACCCTGCAACTGCCCTGCTCCTCCCCTCCGCACCAAACTATTGTTGGGAAATAAGCTCTGGTCAAGGTAAAGCAAAAATGGGGGCACATTAAAGTGATCCATTTCTAGCTTGGGGTCCTATTTTATCCTTTTCCTGCTGCCTAGCCTGAGACAAACAGCTGTGTTTAATCTACTTCCTCATGCAATCCTGTGAGTTTTCCAAAATACTAAAGGTTTGGGCTAGGAAAGCTGCCCAGAGTCACCAATTTGCCTCTAATGCGCAGGCGCTCCCTTGTCTCTCTGCTAGCCCAGGGCTCCTGGGTGCTCTGCCCAGTTTTTGACCACAGTTACCCACGGGATGCTGCGTTCAGCAGCAGGAACTCCCCGCTGCCCCTGCCACGGGCACTGGTTGCCTTCCGGGTGAACCAGTGATTTAGCCACGCCAGCCCCCGAGTGCAGCTTGTGGGAAGGTGCTGCCCCACTAGGATGTATTGGGAGACAGGACACGAGTCCAGTGTTGCCGAACGAGGGAGGTGGGGGCTTAGCAGGCTGCTGGCCAGCACTGAGCCAGTCCACAGGGCTGCAACCCCCAAACCTACCTGCCCTCCTCAGGCTGCCGAGAGCAGTGCCTGGAGCAGCTCTTGGGAAAAACAAATCCACAAACATGTCTGCGCAGCAGGGCGGGGAGCAACTTCGCTGCTTAGCTTCAGTAAACAAAGTGCGCTTCACAGGGACAAGCTCTCCTTTCTGTTCCTGGATGAATCTATTGTGAGCATTGAAAACAAGCAGGTGTCCCTCTACTAGTATGCTTTTCCAACCTATCTGCAGAAGCCAACCCTCACCGTCACTGGCTCTCCGGTGCAATCATGCCTGTTGCAGAGGTGCAAGCATACTGCATGACATGTCCTCAAGGGCAGGAAAGAGGAACAAGGCATGGGGCGAGATGGAGGAGGGTCCTCAGGCTGTGAATGTCCGAGTGTCACCCCCCAGGTGACAGGGATCTGTTTCCCTGTTGGTACTTCAGGCACCTGGTCACCACGCTCAGGCTGAGCGCTGGGCACAGGATGCTGCTCCCATGAGTCCTGCATACTGGGGAGCTCCCTTCTCCCCTTGAGGAGCAAAGCTCACCAGTACCTTGTTAGCATGTCACTGTCATGCAAACCTCAACTCTGCAAAAGGCTTCCCTTCCCCCCCTCCCCACCCCTAAAGCAGAGTGGGCACAAGGAGGGCAAAGAGACCAAAACAACCTATTTGGTCTAAATGAGATGGGAAAGAATTCAGCAGGTTCCTTTCCTCTCCTGGGAAAAGGCACTTTCTCTGCAAAAGTCTGGCACCGGTTTATCACCCCTGTCTGAAGTAACACCTTGAACTGAGGAGGGGCAAAACTACATTTTGACAAGTCTTAGCATGGCCTGCTTTGCTGTTTTCTAGGCTTGTGTCAGCTGCCTTCAGAGCATGTCATTGTGAAGTCAATAAGAAAAACAGGATTCCTAGATAAGGTGGTTCCTTTCTATGTCCACAAGCTCTATGAGATCTGAGAAATGCAGAAAATGGCTCTACATTTTTCACCTTCTCTGGTTATTCACAATATTGGGGTCTAAGGGAATCCAGCGTCCATGACAGGTTTGCACTTAGCCTGCACACAAGGAGAATGAACTGCATCCTTCAGGTTGAACTAATTCAGCTGGGATATTTTGAGCATCTAATCAAAGAGGGATGCTCACAGTCACGCACAATACTTGTTCAGTGAAGGGAAGAAGGCCTAAATTTTAGGAGCATCTCATCTTCTTCAGCAAATGTTTTTTCTTTTTTTCTTGTCCAAATTCATTAAGATTTGGTTTGACCTATGGCATTGTTCTTCACATGGATCCCCTGGTTACACTGACGAAATTACATCCTTCATTGGTGCAAGATCCAACTTTCTGGAGCTCTAAGAACCTTAAACTGGCTCTCTCTATGCTATGACCCATTCATCCCCTTCTGCCAGTCCTACCTGTGAGGTTCTGGGTGCCCAGACAGGGTGCAACAGGCCATCCTCACTGGTGGGACTGGACCCTGAAGTCAACAGAAACACATGCGGTCAAGGGCTCTTTGACCCTCTGTCCACCAATGCTCAAGATCTTTGGCCTTTTCACATACTTTGCTGCAGCACGCTTTGTATTTCTACAGTGCTCTCACACTGCCTTTATTGGGATTTATGAGCCTTTAGACAAGCAGAAAAGCTCCTTACACCAGGCTGGGAGAGCAGCACACACCAAGCAAGTCTTTGTGAATAGGGGGAGTTCAGTGGGTAAAGGAATAAAACAAAACAAACCAAAAAGAAAAAAGAAGTGTAATCGGAGACATTGAAATATCCCCCATCAGTATCTGTACTCCACAGCCCAGGCTTGAGTTATCACAACTTAATTACTGACACATGCTCAATAGCTGATGTGACATGGGGCCTTTGCTCATCAGGGAAGTGAGCAGAAAGACTGAGCATCTTCATATCACCACACACGAGGCTCACAGTGGTCACCTCTTCCCACAGCATGGGCAGTTTTCTTATGCGGACCAGGGCTAAGCAAGGCCAGATAAGAGCTTCTCTTGCACTGCTAACATTTGCCATGTAAAGGAAGGGTCAACTGTAACGCAAACCCTCTGCGTTTCAGGATTTGTAATGAAGCACTGTCTATTTTCCCTTATCCAATGACATCATTGTCTCACACTAATTTTTTGCCAGAAGGCAAAAAATCCCACATCATTTCCTTATTGCACATGGACACGAGGCTGCCCCAGCAAAGGCCGTTGTAACCCCTCCCGCCGCTTCCCATGGGATGATACAGGGGGCAAAAGGAGGTTGTGAGAAGCTGCTGATGGGAAAAATATTTTTCCCCCTGTTTCTGAGAGCCCAGATTTTATCCTGGAAGTCTTTGCTTGTGCTTTGGAATACAGGTGATTTCTCCAAGGCAAAAAGGTAATTCCCTGCTTCACAGAAGACAAAAACCCTGCCCCAAACAGCATTTTTTTCCCCTGACTTCTCCAAAAAGAAATACTTGCTTTATTACTCCCAATACATAGAAGACAACTCAAGCATTGCAGTAAGAGATAGACATTTGTGTTTCTTTTTTGTCAAACTTAAGTACGAAATATCTTGAACTTTTCCTAAAAATCTCTTGAGGAACATCACTGTAAAGGAGACCCAAAGGACTTGCACAGTCCTTGAGTGACAGGCATGGGCAGTAGCCAGTAGTACGGGAGAGGGATCCAGTGACCAGGCGAGGAAGGCCCTGGGGGGAGGGCAGCATGTTTCACTCACGTATCCTTAGCAAAACTTAACCTGATTTAGTAATAAGTCACAGCGCTTCCCATGCATGTAATCTGTGGACTCTGACAAGGAAAAGCTACTGACCTTGTTAAACCTGTTGTCTCCTATTGCATTGAAAAAGCTAAGACAAACACAGTTCTTAATTACTTAGCTTTGAAGTTTTTAAAAATGTAGAGTCATGAGCTCCTCTGGACAGCTACTAAAAAAAAAAAAAAAAAAGAGAAGTCTTTAGAAGAACAACGCTAACAGACATGTGTCTACTACCTTGCTCTCCATGCCTTTGTACCAGAACCCAAAGCAGGCAACCATGTATAAACTTCCAAGGGCCATGAGAGACGTACCCAAATGACAAGTAGGACTAGGAAGGGCTTTAGATCCTCCTCCTCTCTTTTGGGGCTCTTGTGAGCTAAGCCTGTGGTCTGTCTCTGTCATTTCACATGTAATAAAAGACAGCTTCTAAAGAGACTGCCAGAGCCAACAGTATTTGCACTTAAGGATAGCACTTGTAAGCAAATAATAATAAAGAGCAACCCTCTGGGAAGCACATGGTTAAAATATGCACACACAGGCCAGAAGGCACCTTCCTACCACTATCAAATGAAGCCATCAGTCAGCCTTCAAGAGTTTTTAAAAAGTTAATCAGCCAGTTGACACCCTTTTAAGCAAACATTGACCACAATTCTAACCCCTTGCATTTAAAGTGCTTTTAATTCCTGCAGTCTCTGTAAGAGCCTCTTGAATTGAAGTGCTCCATACTTGACATTCCTCTGTAAGAGCCTCTTGAATTGAAGTGCTCCATACTTGACATTCCTGCTCCAGAGAGCATGGCCAGGGCAACACTCTTCTTTCTTGCAAACATACATTTCTACCTTATGCTAGGACATCCCTGACTCCCACCCAGAAGGGGTGCCTTTTATATATTTATTACTAGAAATAATAGTTTAGAGGAAAAACCCCAATACCAAACAATCTACTATTCTCACATCACTCATACTTGCCTTGCAGAGGAGCAGCCAGCGTGGCCACTGGGGGAATCACGCCAGTTTGTGTCAGAGTTCTCAAAAGACTCTCAGAGCTTCACCAGCCCACAGGAACAGGGTAGGAAAGGATCTCAGGAGCATCTGATCCATCTTCTCCAGAGCAATGCTAACTGACCACTTCCCTGTTTGCCTCACCTGTTTTCAAAACCTCTAATGATAGGTGCTCCAGCACCTCCTACACAACCTTGTCCTTTTCTTCTGAGTAGCTGTCAAGTCTTCTCTTATCTTCACAACGCGGTCAAGCTGACCAGTACATAGCTAATAGCATTTGACTATATTTGAGGAGATTTTGCAGCATTGCCTCTCTAGAAATTTAAATAGGAGTTTCTAGCTTAAATTGATAAATGACTGTCTCATGCCCTTGATTGGCTCACTAATAGGTCTAAAAAGCTGCCAAGCACTCACAGGTGGTCCTGGGGGTTTGTAGCTGCTCAGCACTTGTGTAGATCAGCCACACTGCCTGGTGAATGTTATTTCTCTGTTAGAAGTTATTTCTAAGAGGAAATCATCCTACACCTATCAGAGTACTGGGCTATTTCTCCACAAGCGTAGCACGCACCTTAGGAGGTTAGGGCTGGGAGAGGTTAAAGACCACCATAGCCAAGGCAGCCAGACTGCAAATAGGCAAACATGAGCTGGAGCAAGGGTTTAGGGAGTTTCCCACCAGTAGTGCCATGGTGTGCTGGGTGATTCTCCCCTCTGAGTCAGGATGGCATTTCAGGCTCCCTCCCGTTTCCCCAGCCTGGCCAGGCAGAGCTGCAAGGTCCTGCAAGAGCCAAAGAAAATGTCCGGGGCCAGCTTGGGATCTGTCAGGAGCAGCCGTGGATGCCATGGCTCTTCTGCTGTGGCCTTCCTGACCCACAGGGGCACAACCCCTGCTTTCAGCCGTTTGTTTAAATTCCAGGCTTTATCTTTGAGTGAGCCTTTGTTTCTATGGCGATGGCAAAAAAACATCTTTCTATTTAATGCAACGTGGAAAAAAGGAGGCAAGAGAATTCCTAAAATTCTTGTCTGAACTGCAATCTTTTTAGCTTTTTCATATCTGTAGATGTTCGTTTAAGCATTTTGCCTTTAACACCAAAATTAGGGGTTGATGCATTTCCTATACTAGGTCTGAAGCTAGGTCCAGCTTTTAGCTTATAACATGTTGGTCACAAAACGCAACAAAATTGACACGGGTAAACATGTAATAAAAACATTTTTCTTCTTATCAGAAAAAAAGGTGTGGCCTGAAACAGAACTGGCATTGGTCTGCAGGACGCGTAAGCCAGGATTTTCGTGCTCTGTGTTTCACCATCTTATTCTGATAATCACCATTGTATCTTTTTGCCCTAGAGACTTTTGAAAGACTGCAGCATTGCATAACAGAGCTTTGGTCCTGAGGGCACATGGAGAAGCATTCGTCAGCGATGACCACCCTGGTGGAGACCTCTCCTGCTCTGGAGAGGCTCCACAAAGGTGCGGGACACAGCACACCCACCCACTTGGCCTCTGAGGAGAGCTCCACTGCTACACCCAACCCCAGATTCCCAGCCCAACCACCAAAGTAGTCTTCCCTTCAAATCTGTCAGGGTGTCTCGTACTGCTGGCTGTGGAAATACCAGCCCTTGAACCCCCTCAAAATGTACAAGGAGAAGGGAAGGAAGGAAAGAGGGAAGGAATATTCAGGGCATTTGGAGCAACTTAAAACCCTGGATATCAGGATCCAGACTTGATGTGCTAACCAGGCCAATCATACACTGGGTCAGGAGATGGTGGAAAGGTGGTGAACCCTGGTGGGCAGCTGGGCTCAGGGGTCCATTTCATTCCTTGCTTCAGGCCCACTGCATTGCAGACCCACCTTTGCCTGAGCTGTCATGGTTCATAACAAACACATCCATTCTTGCAAAACACCTAACTGCAATATGACTTCAGCCAAGAAGGAAAAAGAATGTAATAAGTGAGTTTTCCTGGAAATCATGGAAGTGACGTATGAGCACTGCTGAAGCACTGTCTTGCTGCTGCTGAGGCAGCAGAAGTGGGAGCCACTATTCTCTAAATATTGCAAAAGAGACCCGTTATTTTTTGCCAGCCATTTTAAGATGACTGGAGTGTTTATAACACACAATGCTTCTGCAAAACACAGTCACACAGAGACAAGACCGTCTCAGAAACACATCACTCCTCACCAGTCCCCTCTCCCCCTAAAAAAGTGCAATGCACAGACCTAAAGCGCAGAAACCACATCTCAGTGCCCCATTTCTCAATGCCATGCCCAGGATGTGTACAACGCTGCTGCTGATGGCAGGGATACATGGGGAAAAATTTTGGTTTGTTTTGCCCAACTGGGCAGGATTTTGCAGGAGAACAACATGCAACTTGGGAGACAAGGAAGTCCCCAAATCACTAGGAAGGAAATAGGACATGAGAATTGAGCACCCACGCGCTCATGAACGACTTCCAATTTCTTTGAGGATGTTCTCAGAGTGGATTCCAGTCCACCTTGATTTTCTAACATTGCATTTAAGACCTTTTCAATGCAAATCCTACCCTTGAAAACCACACTAGCTTCTTCAGCATAGTTTGTACTATGCCAAATCACAGCTTTGCTCCAAAGGAGTTTTCTGACAGGGTGATGGGACTGGTGTGAGTGCCGGTCTGTGCCCTGCAGCCAGCAAGATCAGTTTGCTAATACAAGGCGACCTCCCAGCACAGGGCTCCCATGATAATAGATCGGTCTCCTGGTACGCAAGGCATTGTTTCAGTGGCAAGGGAAGCCGTGATTACCAAACATCCCTCCGTGTGCAGGGGACAAGCTCCTGCTGCTTCTGACGGGGCTAAAACCGCCACACGGAAGGGTCAGGCAGGATGGCAAGAAAAAGCCAAGGGCAGTAGTTTTTTGTGAAACTGCAGCATTCATTGTTGTTTTTTTAAAGTATTGTGTGGCTTTCACCAAAATTTAATGTGGGAGCCTAGCCTGCAAGTGATTTGTAGCTATGCCTTTGTTGTGAAATAGCCTAAAAACTGTCCTGACAAAATCTTAGCCTCGCTGCTGTCTTTACTGAACGATCACTATCAGCATCAGGTCCCCAGATCAAACCGCTGTGATGTATTTTAAAAGGTATAAAGCCTCCTTCTGTGAAGGATAAGGGAGGAATGACCCAATACTGGCAAATCATTCAACTCTGGCCATGTGGCATTTGTGCCAAGAGCCAGATACAGCCGCTGCATGCCCAGCCTAGCCCCGCAGCGCAGGATGCAGGACCAGCACACGCAGAGAGGACGGTGCTGGCTGGGTCGTTTGGGCTGCTCCTCTTCCCCTGGCTATGCGGGATGGTGCCTTTCCACCCTCTTAGTGAATCTCCATTTGCCTCCAGCCATAGACAGGCTGAAGGATTTGGGTTTCGGCCTCTCTGAACGAGGCGTAGCCTCCTCTAGTCTACGGCCCAGCCGCCAGCAGCCCTGGCCAACTGCATACAAGCCAGCCACCCTCTCATCTTCCTGCTGTACAGCTGTTTGGCTGTTATTCGCCTGGAAACAGCCTCCCCATCCGGCACATATGCAACTTGTTAACCCTATTCCTAGACAAGTGCTTGTAGCAGCACTCTGTAAACAGCTTTACCTCAAACACGCTCCGGTGGGACATTCATCTACACAGTGACCAGCACAAACCATTAGAGTGTCAAAAATGGCCAGTTCCTGCTTCCTGTTAGTCTCGGTGACCACTCATTGACCAGTGGTTGAGAAGTCCTGTTTTTTTTTTTTATGCTGGTGACTGTAGTCAGAAAGGAAACCATAGGAAATGCAGCAGTATGTGGTCCCTGCATGCTGCATGATGGCAGTGCCAAACAAGCCAGTTTCAGAGCTCAAGAACCATCTGGTGGCTCTGCTTCACACCCTAACTTGCCTTAAAATAGCCATCCCAGTCGCGAATAACGAGCCAGCCTGGGCCCAGCTGGCTCATCCTCCTCAAACCGATGGGCATTTCTGGGAAGCAAGCTTTTCTGATCCACAAAGAGAGCAAGAGCGCAGCCCTCAGGCGTCAGGTCAGGGTGAGCAGCTCCCCTCCACCCTGGGTGTCGATGATGTGTTGCCTCTTGCCGTGAAAGCAGCTCTGGGCTGTGAGAGGCAGCCCGGACTAGCAAACCGGCACACGCTAGGTAAAGCACTTGCTCCAGCAGAGCCAAAACAATTGCCTTGGCATTTGGTTTGCAGGACACCGTGCAGATTTGCTTTCTTTTCACCCTGCAGCTGGCCTTAGTGTTGGCACCCTAAAGCCCTCCAGCAACAGCAATATCAATAACATTCTGGCTTGAAAAGTCCCTTTTTGGAGCAGATTGGTGATAGGTGAGAGTACCACGTGCAGTTACTGCTTCTACACATGTGAAATAATTCTTTGCATGTGCAAATAACAGAATGAGGTAGAAGCTGATGTAAAAGAAAACATGGGGCACGCGTCTCTGTTCTGCAAAACACTAACCAGCAAGTGTCACGTGGTGGGGGATGCCTTTCACATCAAGGTTTTGGCCCCAGGGTAGAGTTGCAGAGCTGCTGTGGACACACCTCTCCTGTCATTACCAGGCGACAGGTTTGCACACTACATAGACCAACTTGAGCTTAAAAAAAAACGCCCTCAAATGTCTTTTTAGCTCTGGCTTTTTTTTTTTTTTTCAGTGTGACTCACCTTAAACCTGGTGTGCTTCAGCAGGCTGAATGCCTCGCATACCTCTCCAGGCACGCAGTCTTGTGCAAGAATATGGAAAGAGTTTTCCTGGGCGCAGGAAAGTCACTGAAGCATGACATTTCTTTGAAGAAGTTGATGGTGATTGACTTGTAAACAGTGGCCTTCTGCTCCTCTACCATTTCCTAGGAAAGAACAGGTCAGTGGGTGCGAAAGCATGCCGGTGGTGGGGACAAACCCATGGTGACAAACAGGGTCAGCAGGGAACAGCGATGGGGATGGTACTACCGGCTTGCTGCCCCTGCCCCAGGGGCTCTCTCCCCCCCCCCAGCCACTGAGTGCCTCCTGCGAGCACCCTGCAGCCGAGCATGAAGCAAGCAGCAGCATTCCCCACCGCTGCAACTTACGTTCTGGCTAGTGATGAGGCTGCAAGCCATCAGCTAGCATAAAAACCGCACTGATACACCATGCCCTATTTGCTAATTGTGGAAGAAAAAGAGTCAGAAAGACTAATTGGAAGAGTCTAGCATGTTTTTATTTGTGTTTGTATTTGTTTTTGGGATAGACAGTACATTCAAGCTCTCTTGACTTGGATCACAGTCAAAAGAACTGCTTCCTACCATGAGCATGCATAACTTGTTGGGAGAAATAAGAGCAGCCATAAACCTTCTCCTGGCACCAGGAAGTTTAATAGCAGAGTGCTCAGCCAGAAGTAGGAGGCACCGAAAAGGGAACATCAGGCTGTCCTTTAATCTCATTTTGAGATCTAAGCTTAGGATAATAATGCTATTCTGCACTTATATAGTGCCTCATAAAACCGTAAAGCATTTTGCAAAGCTGGCTAAAATGATTGCTTCATGGAGGCAGAAAGCCAAGATAGCCTAAGTGTGTCCTGCAGCCGCAGGCTGCCCCGTGTATTAGCAGGGGGTGGCAACGACAGCCCATGCTCCTGGGAAACATCTTTCCTTCCAGGGAAGAGCTCTAATGGTCTCGGTGAACTGCTTGTCTAATACCAAGGTGCTTGCAGAGGATTTGACCCCACCGCAGTGCCCACTCGTGTTGAGCCACGACCGACAGCAGGCAGAGCACTGATGTCCTTCCAAGGGCCCTGCAGCCGCCGCTTTCGGTTATGCAACCAGAGTTTGGCTGATTTTTTTGGCTATTGGACACAGTTCATCCCAGCTTTTGAAAGCTCACATGTTCCAGCAAAGTCCAGATGTTGCTCTGAGAGCTGGCAGGTAACTTATTTATTTTTATTTTTTAAGCAGGGTGAGGAGGTTTATTTTTCAAAGGAAACCTACCTTTTACACCAAAGTATTCTTTCAGTATTTTTATTTTCATCTGAAAGTTTTTGTTTGGATGTCTTTCTGTGCTGGAGGAAAAACCATAGATATTGGTATTTGTTTACTATGAAAATGATTTTTTCAGAAGTGCCAGTTAAAGTAAGCTAGTTTTACCCAAGGCACAAACTTTACAGCAAAACAAACACGTTGGCTCCAGTTTTCCACTAGGAAACGAGACGGTAGCCGGGGAGATTTAAAAACCATGTACCTGTGAACTATTTTTGACTGCATTTTGAGGGATAAAATAAGCAGCATTACTAGGCTCAGTATTTACACTCTGCCATACACCCAACCGAGAAGGCTCCCAAGTTTAAACAGTGCAGAGATTGCATCTTTTTTAGTCAGTGCCATTGGCCATGACCCTCATGGATTATTTTGGGGTAACACACATTTCCCCCTCCCACCTCACCGCTCCCCACCAAGCCTACCCTAGCAGTAAAGGGTGGCGAGGAGGGCTGCGAGGAGCAGCGGGAGGAAGAGGATCCTCAGCATCTCTGGGACAGGGAAAGCCAGGGTGGTGGTGGGGGCCACCCGCGTCCGCGTGGCCCCCAGTGTCCGGTCCCACTGGGTGAGGATGGCTGTCCGGGCACCGCTCCACTTCCCAGGGCCCATAAGCCGAAACTGGTACGGGGTGCAGGGGCCGAAGAAGACCTCCAGTGCCAGGCGTGGGTCCGTCAACAGCAGCTTGAGCAGGCTGGGCCTCACGCCGATGGCGGTGGCCAGCTCGTCCATGTAGGTGATATAATCAGTCTGCAGTGTGTTGCTGCTCCCGTACCTTCAGGGAGAGAGGAGAGGGCAAGGCTCCTTTGGCCATGTTTTTCCCCTTTTTTGCCCACCGCAGCCCCAGGCTCCTCCTGCAGCCTGCGATGGCAGGGAGAAGAGGAGGTGCAGGAGCTCAGCTCCCTGTGCTGGGGCTGGAAATCAGCTCCGGTCACCTGGCCGTCTCACTCCGCAGCCTCCATCTCTGCGCCACTCCGCAGCCTCCATCTCTGCGCTCTGTCCAATGGGGTGCCCTTGCATGGGAAGCCACTCCCATGGTGATCCTTTTATTTTGCACTTCCCAGCTCTGTAGTGGGATCTAGCTTGAACAGGGAGCCTAAATTGCATAAGGATGCTAAGGTATGCTGCTACATCTTGCTAAAGGAGAAAACCTGCTCTTGCCACTCTACATGTGCCAGCAGCGTTCATCACTGACTGTCTCCTTTCCTTGTATTTTAAAGGC